AAATGTTTCCAAATGAAATGCAAACTTTCAGCTCAGTTTGCTTCAAGTTGTGCAAAAAATGCTATAAATTCAATGGCAATTTGTAGTATAACACTCAGCTCTTAACCATGAGCAGCTCGTTTGTGGCATTCACTAGAAAGTTATTATGGTTACCATAGACAAGCCAAGAGCATCTAATCACTTTACCCCTCCCAAGTGTACAGTAAAGGGTATGATGATATGTCAAAGGAATTTCTGTAAGAAATCGACTAGAAATGCTCGAGTGACACGTGTCTGACTACAAGATATCCTGAGCACAGGCACATTCTACATCCACATACATATATGCATACACAGGCACTCATCCGCACACACAAACATCTATATGTGCACACACACTAATAAGTAGTCACACCGTTCACTGCTTACTTGACGCTTGAATTATAGTCTGCACTATGGAGCATTGGGGATATAATAATCTGAGCATTAAGAAAATTAAAGTTTCGACTTAAAATAAAGTCAAAAGAGAAATTAATGATTTCATTTATTATTCGAGATAATAAAGACACGGCGATTAAGAACTTTACGTTCGGATTTATAGACAAATCATCGTGTGTTCTATACGGTCTGCCACACATACCTCGGATTTATGTACTTATATGAAAAGCATATGAAAAGAAATCATAATTCAGATAAAGAACTGCTGAACAATCTTAATATTTTGCTGCGCAGCTTTTATTTAGCTAACATCTAATAATTTTTATTATTGTAGTCTAAGAAGCTTAACTTAACTTATTGTTAAATTTGGCAAACCAAAAATAAATTATTCATGTACAAAGAATAATTATAAGGAAGTAACACACAAAACAATGTCTTGAACAATGTCTAGTCCTGAAATTTATGTCTATGTCTGGTCTGGAGTATCTGTTCGATCGCCCTCTCGCCGTGAGCTGCTTTCACGCTTTACATTTCACTTTTGTTTCAGCAGTTTTGTGAGGCAAGTTAAGTGCTTGTGCACGATATCTATGCTGCAGCACATCGAGGCGCACATGCCGTAAGCTGCAGCCAAGACCAGGCTCAACGTGCTGCCGTGCTTAAATCAATTTACGCGCGCTTTGGCACACTTTGAGGATGGGCACGAGGCGGGAGGAATGCCTCCTCCCCGCTCACAACGGTCCCCCCCTGTTCACGGGCAGCGGAAAGTGAAAAGTGGCGTTGACAGATTTTTCTTATTTTCGGCTTGCCACTGTCGGAACCCATCTCCATGCCCATACCCATTCCTCTCCCTATCAGCCCCCACTAGAGTGGGGCGTGGCAGTGGCAGCGCTTTAGCATGCCGCAAACGCTGTAAAATGTATGGGAATAAAATGGAAGCAAAATACCTAACTAGCAGAAATATGCGCGACTTTTACACATGGGTATTTTATAGTCTAAGTAAGCGGATGGGCGCAATGTTGTGTGTGGGCGTGGCAGCTGCTGTCGACTCTGCCTGCTTACATACATATTTCGGCGTGTGTGCGCACTCCAAAGCTTAAAGACTTCGAAATTCATTTCGGTGTAGCTGAGAGTGAACTGCTTGAATCGATTTTAATATTATTATTGGAGATTAGGCAACAATTACGCTTTGTCGGCTCAATAATTAGAATACGCAAGAGGCATATGTATATGTATGTATATATGGATTGATACATATGCATATGGCTACACAAATACGAGGCTTATCAGCAACAGGTTTAGTTGTTTAGCATTAATAAACAACAAGCAAACAACGTCAAACACAAAAGTTTTCTAGCTGCGATTCGACTTGGATATACCTTAACTAACTTGAAGTATAGCAATTCACTGAATATTTGAATAAATTATAATAAATACAAAATGTTTATGTTATTGTTATTGTTCATGTAAATGTTATATAAAATATAACTTAATAAAAAAGCCTTTAAAATAAAATGTTAAGGAACAAAATCAGTTTGAGTCTGAGCAAGGGAATATAAAGATCAACAAGTCTCATTTCACTTTCATTTTCAATTTAGCCAAGTGAAATATAGCCAAAGAGCCTATTCGATGGCGCTGCATACCCTAGCCTAATCAAGGCGGCAAGGGCATAATTATAATCAGGTGTCAGAGCAGGCGGTTGTCGTAAATCTCTTAAACGTAGCCAAAACCAATTGGGCGTAGTAAGTTTCTATTTATCACCGAGGGGCTTTACGTCACGGCCCCGTCATCATTCCGCTTTGAAAACGGGGGTGCATAGCATTTTGGACGTTTGATTGTTATTATTAACACGTGACTGAAATGCGGCTAATTCAAGCGAAAATTTAATTAAAAACTGTGCGCTTAATAGCTAAATACCGAAAGCAAAGCGTAAAGGAGAATCAAAGCACGCTAAAAAAAATGTGCACTGAGATTAAAGAAAGACTATTTGATGTAGTACAACATTCTAGGATTTACTAAATTAGAATCATGGAGAATGGAAATGTTCAATCTGAACCTTTACCTAATAAATAATTAAGATAACTAAACTAGACTTTTCTCTTCGTGTAAGGGCAAAACGTGACGTGAGCAGTTAATGGGGAGGCGGGGCATTGGAGGTTGACAGCTGAAAGTTGTCCGCATCCGCATCCGCATCCGCATGACGCTGTTCATTTCGTTTGTGCCTTGTAAATTTATCAATGGCCATTCCAGTCGTTGCGGTAGAAATTTCCGAGGCATTTTCACGTTTTATGGTCCTCATTTTTAATTGCAGCACAACGGTTTGCCCTGCCATTAGCGCAAAGGATAACCCAGCGTGTCGGGACAACAATGCCCAACGGATGTGCAAATCGTGAGGCAACTCGTCGAGGAAAGGTCAGAAATGAATAGAAATGAGGCTGCATTTTATTGATGACAATGTGTAAGTGCTCACAAATTAAAGTCGACTCATGGCACAACATTCAAATGAAAATGCTGCACGTGAGAAGCGCAGAGAAGGGCTCTTGTGGAGCACTACTCAAAACTACTCTAACAAATAATGGATTCCATCTAAATATTTGCAAAAAATTAAAACAAACTTTCAACTCAATTACAGAAGCCATTGAAATACAAATTGCCAACAAACGCGAACGGAACAAAGCCAAAGATTGCAACGAAGATAAGCCAGAGACAGCAGCAAAGACGCAGCTGTGGCTGTGGCTATTGCTGGGGCACTGTCAGTGTGGAAGCTGCCACTGCGTGTCCCATCTTAAAACAATAGTCCAAAAAGTGCAAAAATGCATTTACCAAGTGCCGGACTGGCCAGGATGGCCACCTTGAGCAGTGTCCACGAATACCAATCCCAAGTTTAATTTCAGTCAAAGACCTGAAATCACTTTTGTTGTCGCTGGAAAATGAATTTCCTGCTATTTCAGCCATTCTTATTGTTGTTGTTTTTTCGGTTTTATTATACACTTTTTTATGATAGCTCTTAAGACGTAGTCAAGGAATGCGCGACGTAAGAAATTACCACATAAAATAACTCTCTCTGCTGTCTCTATGCCTCCCTCTCTTTCTCGCTATATCTCTTGATCAGTATTAATTGTCAGTGTAGATTTAAAGCTTTATATTTATTGAATGCAATGCAATATTAAAAGTCTGTTAGATTCTGTCGAAATAATATAATCCAATTTCTATATAAATCTAATGATTATAGATTTAAAATTAGTTCTATTTTGTTAGAGTATTCAGTGTTCCTCAAAGGAATGAGAAACTTTTCAACTTGTTCTTCCTGTTCTTTTTTCTTTCTTTTGGCTTAAGGTTGCCTGCATTTTAATGGTTATTTGCTATGTATTGTTGTTGTTATTACTATTGCTGCAGTTCCTGGCACGGCATTGTGCGCTTAAGGATGCACTCGTGACACAGCTGTGGGAGGAGCCATGAAAACAGTTTTGCCTTTGCAGCTGCCCAAGTCGGAACAACTCAAAATGAGGTCTGCTTTATGGGGCAAGCTTTTTAGGCAAGCAAACTAAGAGAAATGAGTTTGTTTGTGTGTGAAACAAAGTTGCCGCAGGCTGCAATTATTGTAACGGAATACTAAATCTTACACAGTCAATTGACGGCAGTTGAACTGCTGACTTGACTTGCTAATGGAATCATAATGTAGGTCTGTATAGAACTAAGCCAGAATCTATAGAGAGATGAAGGTCATTTAAGTTATTTAGTTATTACAGCTATATTTTATTATATGTTTTGTATGAATCAAGCATTGATGAGTTGCAAAATCATTGGCTTAAAACTATCCAAAGATTAGGCCCTTTTTGGTTTGAGCCCTTTGGTTTGAATATAGCTCAAATTTATTAAAATTATCTAGATATTCAGTATCGCCATGTCACAAGAGATGTATTATCTACGGAGGAAATCGACTGCAATTCATAGGGCAGATCTATATGATTTTCCATGTACACCCCATTATTGACTACTACTACCATACTGTAAGTCTACAGCTACAGCTTTCTTCAATTTATATGGTAAATTTGATGAATATTAAAGCTATGTAAGGCTGGGTTGGATGAGAATCAATATTTCGATTATTTCGTTTCTAGATTTAGTATAGGGAACAAACTTGCATTTCAACAAACACGCGAAGGCATATCATTACTGACAGATCATAAAACTAATATACTCATACTCATATAATATAGATACATTCATAAAGTTAAGACAAAGATAAATATTATAATCCAATTACTCAGTTTAATTTTTAACTATTCAAATAATATGTAATAAATTTGAATCGATCGATTTACTGCAGCTATATCGTTAGAGCCTCGATATGGTACTATATATTCTTTCTGAAGCTTTCCATAGTCAACAGCTGATTAACAGTATAAACGGCTTCGATCGGTAGATTGTTGACAAATACAAATTAATTGAATAGCAATTCAACACTTTGTATATAATCACGCATTTAGTAAAATGTTTCTCAAATGTCGTTAAACAGTCCCAAATTATTGGATACTATAAAGTAATTACGTACAACACTTTGATGGAAACTCATTTGGCATTACCTTTTGCAAGACTTGAATTTAATAATGAATATCAATCAGCGCAGGTGTCGCGCATGCAAATGGCCAATAAGACTCCTTAAAAAGTAATCAAATGTTGAGCTTTAATTTTGTTTTGATTTTGTTTTTGCTTTTGTTTTGTTTTGTTTTTCCGCTTTTTATTTTTCTGTATTTGGTTGAATATCTGTTTGAATTAACGCGCGCCTAAGTTGGTACTGTTAACACTTTCGGTTTCGAAAAGAAAAACACGTCACTTGTTGGTTAACTCGATTCGACTTGATACGGTTCGGTTCGCTGCAGCGTTGGCTGCGCTCCGCTTGGTACCGTTAACGTGCAACGCCGACCAGGAACTGAATATGCGGCGCCAGCTGAAAATGAAATGCGGCCCAAGCTGTTGCGACAAGAACAGACAGAACACATTAGCCGAGCCGAGGCTGTCAGCCGACAACGGACGACACGACGACGCGACGATGGCGATAAGCACGAAGGCAAATGGCGCCTAGCGGCTTCCAGTTGCAACCTTTTTCCAGTGGGCAGGTGTTGCCACCTGGCAGGGTGGGTGCTCCAAGGGGGCTGATAACACAGTCAGCTGCCAGCTGCTGTCCCAACAGCTGTTGGGCCCCAGCGCGCTGTGGGTGAGGGGTGATGGGGCTCAAGGAAAACAGCTCCAAGTACTACAAAACATTTCAATGAAAATGTGACAAAATCTCAGTAAGTAGTAGAAATAGTAGTAGACAATAGCAAAGATAAGTGTCTTCATTTTTTTTTTT